AAAAAAAAAAAAAAAAAAAAAAAAAAGCTGAGCCAAAGCAGAAGTCACTGGGTAAACTAGATACCAGACTAGGAAAGAAGAAAATGCGTATAGGTTCGGTGGCGGCAGGGACAGTGAGTGGTCAAGGCTGATTTTTAAGTAATAGCCAATTTTCCCCTGGTGGTGACATTTCTGGTTTTCCTCTTCATACTCCATCCCATGACTCTCGCTCAGACTTTACTCATTCCACTGGACTCTGGGCCTCTCTACTGTCCGGCACCCCGCTCATCCATTCGCATTTACCCTCCACAGCTGGGAGGATATTCCATGAGGGAGGCAGTCAGGACAGGGAAGCACTCTGGCTCCCCAACACCCTCAAGACCAAGCCCAGTGCCTCACAGCCATGAGCCATGACTGCACAGCTCATGGGAAGCTTCTCCATGATGCACAGGCCTCTAGGCCTCAGGCCCACAAAACTATGTCTAATACCCAGAACGCGTCAGGATCTTTTGCCCCTAAACATCTGCACAGGCTGGCCCAAGTTAGAACACTCTTCTCCCTCGCTGTAACATAAATACTGCTTCCTCTATCTGGTAGGCTGTCCAAAATGTCTCCTTTTCTAGGAAGCTGAACGGATCCCTCTGTCTTTTTTTTTTTGAGACAGAGTCTCACCCTGCTTCCTGGGCTGAAGTGTAGTGGTGCAATCTCGGCCCACTGTAACCTCCACCTGCTGGGTTCAAGCAATTCTCCTGCCTCAACCTCCTAAGTAGCTGGAATTACAGGCGCCCAACACCACACCCGGCTAATTTTTTGTATTTTTAGTAGAGACAGGTTTTCACCATGTTGGCCAAGCTGGTCTCGAGTTCCCCACCTCATGATCTACCTGCCTCGGACTCCCAAAGTGCTGGGATTACAATCCCAGCCCTCAACACTCTGCCTAAGCTTCCTGCATGATGGCCCTGACTACTATGTTCTGTCACTGTCCTAAAGAATCAGGGTTTGGGCCAGGCCCGATGGCTCATGACTGTAAACTTTGGGAGGCCAAGGTGGGCGGATCACCTGAGGTCAGGAGTTCGACAGCAGCCTGACCAACAATGGAGAAACCCCATCTCTACTAAAAATACAAAATCAGCTGGGTGGCGCATGCCTATAATACCAGCTACTCAGGAGGCTGAGGCAGGAGAAACGCGTGAACCCAGGTGAAGGTTGGGGTGAGCTGAGATCACCCCATTGCACTCCAGCCTGGGCAATAAGAGCGAAACTCCATCTCAAAATAAATAAATAAAACCAGGATTCTATGTCACCAGTGTGCCCCCAGCACTGCCTGATCCTGGTTGGGTAGCACACTCTAAAAGCATATGCGATATTTACATTCCTGGGTTATTTTTTGAGACAGTCTCACTCTATCGCCCTGGCGGGAGCACAGTAGTGCAAACTCTGTTCACTAAGACCTCTGCTTCCTTCCCGTGTTCTGGGAGGGAAAAAGTAAAAAATTGCAAAATAAAAAAAAAAAAAAAACCTCGGTTTCCTGGGTTTCAAGTGATTCTCCTGCCTCAGCCTCCCGAGTAGCTGGGGCTACAGACATACACCGCCACGCCTGGCTAATTTTTGTATTTTTAGTAAAGACAGGGTTTCGCCATGTTGGCCAGGCTGGTCTCGAACTCCTGGCTTTAAGTGATCTACCCGCCTCTGCCTCCCAGTGTGTTGGGATTACAGGCGTGAGCCACTGCGCCTGGCTGCAGGCTTTGCTTTCCTCAAGAGCAACTTCACCGGTAGCCTCGAACTGAATCCCAGCAAGCTCCTTCGCTTCTCCCGACAATTTTCTTGAGGTGATAAGAGCTAACATTTATCCAGCCCTTCCTAGCTGCCAGGTACCATAAAACAGAAACACTTCGAGATTTAGCTAATTTAATTTCCCCCAACATCCATGCAAAGGTATTATGACTTTGTTCAGTTTTCACACACAGAAAATGAGGTTCAATAAACGTGATAATTTACTTGAGAAAGCAGTAGAGTCTTGCCGATTTCAATAATTGAGTTCTTTTTTTTTACACAGCTTCTTGCTCTGCCCAGGCTGCAGTGCAATCATAGTTTACTGCAGCCTCAACCTCTGTAGCTCAAGCGATTCTCCCACCTCAGCCTTCTGAGTAGCTGGGACCACAGACGTGACCCACCCATGCCCAGGCTTTTTTTTTTTTTTTTTTTTTTTTTTTTT